CTAATACGATCTAACCCAAGGGCGGCGAGCGCGAAGGCTTGCTAACGCCGAGCGTAGACTTTCAAGTCAAATCTAGCCCAAGGACCAAGTTAATATTATGCTGACTAAGAGAATACAAAGGACGGCTTACCTAGCCCAAGGACCAAGAGGTCAAGATGAGGGCTAGGGTCGCTACAGGTGGGGTTTATATACTGAGTCAGGGGAGCCAAACATGTACAAACATAACGGCGGTCTGTGCGCACATTAGTGCCAGTCTGCAGGTGGGGGTCAGGTGACTGGTCACATGCTTCTAACTACTGGTTCTAAGTCTAAGTATCGTACAAATGGCCGTAGAAAATAAGGAAAAATGCGGAAAAATATAGGGGTCTCGTCGTTTCCACGACATTACCCCCCTCCTATTGTCCATCGTCCCTGATGGACCCACGGCCCGGGAAGCGTCCGCTCTCCCAGTCGCGGTCCGGTGGTGCGGCCTCTGTGAAGGTCACGCGTGGCTGCCATGGGAGGTTCTTGAAGTCAACGGCCTGGATCTTTCGAGGGGCGCTGGGTGCATGTTTGTGGAACTCGGCTACCTTCTCCGGTGCGTTGGTTAGGTTTGATGCCGGTTCCCAGCTGTCCTCGCCTTCGCCGTACCCCTTCCAACGTACGAGGTATTGTAGTTGGTTGCGGTAACGGCGGCTATCCAGGATCCGATCGACTTCGTACTCCTCCTCTCCTTCTACCTCTACAGGTTCCGGCGGTGGGGGTAGGCGACCGTTGACCTCATTGCCCCTCCATGGGGATAAGCGATCAACGTGGAATACGTCATGAAGCTTGAGCGCGGGGGGAAGGGCTAAGCGATAGTCGAGGTCTCCAATCCGTTCGGTGACTTCGAACGGGCCGAGCTGCCGGGGTCCTAGCTTAGGGGTCGCTTGGTGGATGTGGATGTTCTTAGCGGTGAGCCAAACCCGGTCGCCGACCTTGAACGTGTGTGCTTTTCGCTTGCCGTCTTCGTAGGCTTGCTTCATGCGTTCCTTGCTCATGCGTAGTGCCGCTTCCGCTTCCTTCCGGGCTTCTCGGAGCTTGCTGAGCCGAGCGTCCAGAGATGGGATCTGCGTGGGGCGTCCTGCCGGGATGGTGAAGTCCGGGCGGTAGCCGTACAGGACTTCGAACGGAGTTTGTCCATGAGCTGTCTGCACCCGAGAGTTGAGCACAAACTCCGCCGTGGGGAGGAGGTCCGCCCAGTCGTCCTGTCGCTTGTCGCAGTAGATCCGAAGGTACTGTTCGACCTCCTGATTGGCTCGCTCCGTCTGTCCGTTTGCCATGGGGTGATACGCCGTGGTGAGACCGCTTTCGATACCAAGGCGCTTGTACAGGGCCCTGGTGACACGGGCGGCAAACTGGGGTCCCCTATCCGACACAATCTTCTGGGGAATGCCGTGAAGCCGGAAGATGGTCTGATAGTGCAGTTCGCCGATCCCTTCGGCGGTGACGGTGTCGGTGGTTGCTACCAGGTGGACCTGTTTACTGTAAAGGTCGACGTATGTGGCGATGGCGTTGTACCCTTTTGACGAGGGCAGTCCGGTAATCAGATCTACTCCCATGACTACCCAAGGGCCTTCAGGTACCTCGTGCGGTTGAAGTGTGGCCCGGGGATGCGCGGCCGCCTTGTAGCGTTGGCATTTGTCGCAACCCAGGACGTACTTCTCGACAAACCCACTGATCCCCGGCCACCAGTACAGCCGTGTGACTAGTTCAACCGTCCCGTGCTTTCCTGGGTGTCCTGCCATCGGCGCATCGTGGCACTGCCGGACGATGGCCTCCCGTAATCCTTCCTCGGGCGGGATGTACAACCGTCCACGGTAGTACACCAGCCCTCCCTCCTCTTCCCATTCCCACGTCCCATCCGTCAACCTTCGCGGCCCGTCCTCCCGAAGGGCTTCCAAACCCTTGAGGACTTCCGCCTCCCGCCTGCTACTCTCCCTGATCCGTTCCTCCAGCGGGTTAACCGCGCGTAGTGCTGACGCCGCGATGGTGGCAAAGCGTTCGGGCCGAAGGACAATCTGATCCTGATTGTCCTCGGCGTCGGTGACTTGAAACTCCGAGATGCGTGAGAGGGGGTCGGCCTGGGTATTGGCAGTTCCCGGTTTATGTGTGAGTCGGAAATCAAAGCGTGACAGCCAAAGAGCCCAGCGCGCCTGTCTCCGGGTGAGGTTCTGGGCGGTGCGCCAGTATTCAAGGTTGCGGTGATCGGTGATGATCTCGAAGGGCTCGGGTAGCCCCTCGAGGAAGTGCCGCCAGTCCTCCAGTCCTCTCACAATGGCCAGCAGTTCTCGGTCGTAGATCTCGTAGTTTCGCTCAGCCTCCGTCATGGATTCCGACCGGAATGCGACTGGGTGCCAGAGACCGTCCTCGAGCTTCTGCAGAAGGACTCCTCCGGTGGCGTACCCCGAGGCGTCTACCTCGACTCGCGTAGGGCGGTCTGGTTCCCAGGTCACCAGCACCGGCTCCGTGGTGAAGGCTTCTTTGAGGGTGTCAAACGCCGTTCGCTGCCGCAGTCCCCATTCCCAGGCGACGTCCTTCTTGGTGAGGTCGTGGAGCGGTCGTGTGATCTTAGCGAAGTCCTTGATGAAGCGACGGTAGAAGTTGGCAAACCCGATGAACCCGCGGACCTCCCGTAAGTTCCGTGGGGTCGGCCAGTCGCGTACAGCCTGGACTTTGA